CACATAAATTGCAGTGTGTGGTACACATGGATTTGCTGGCTGGATTCCACTGTGTGTGCGTACACATGAATCCCGTGTGTGCGTACACATGCATGGATTTCACTGAGACTGAGCTATATTGGATGACTGCAGACTACAAAATTACTGATTGAGACGAGAAGATTGTCACCGAGCGACTGAGTTGCTGGACTACGGAGCAGGTGACTACTGCTGTATATCACATGAGAGAGAGAAAGAGAGTAGTGAGAGAGCGTGTGAGAGAGAGAAAGAGAGGGACACGGAAAGGGAGGGACTTCTTCTCGCGAAAACGCGTGGGTGATGACGTCGATGACAGCACCGATGATGGTTGATTGCGGGGCATGCGAGGATGACTCCTGATCGATGAGTGAGTGCAAACAAAGAGGGAGTGAGCGTGCGAGGTGCAGAATGCTGCGCCAAACGGAAGCCCTGACTGATTGAAGCACTCACTGGGAGTGCAGGGCCCAAAAACAATGGTGCAGAGGGACCGAAGACAGCGGTAACGGCCTCGGCCGATTGAACTCGGAGTGACAGGGAGAGCAAAGAACGAGATGGTGGACCTGGAAATGCTGGCCTGTGGTGCGCCGAGAGAGGAGATCCGCCAGTCTAACTCTAAGTGAAAGGAAAAATGGCGGCCTGTGGTGCGCCGAGAGAGGAATGCATTTCCTGCAATTTCACGGAAAAGACAATCTGAATAATGTCTATAGGTCCTCTGCCGTAGCTCCCTTTTGGGGCTAGGAGTTAATGTTGCTTCCTGCGGCCTTACGTGAAGCCTTTGATGCGAAAGAGAGGAGAGAGGAAAAATGTGCAGTCGTCTGTTTGATCCTCGCCTTCCGTTTTCATTGCTCTCTCTCACTTTCGTCTGTTCTCCGCTTTCGAATGATCGATCGAAACGCTTTTCCTTTGTCCTCCTCCTCCTCCTCTCTCCCTCCCGCCGCAGGCACGAGCTAACAACAAACGAGCATACAAGCCGGAGACTGCTGCTGCGGCAGCCTCGACGACTAGCGTCAGCAGCGGCGTAGGTGGCGCCAGCGCGTCGGGGAGCGGGTCTGGCCCGGCCCTCCGCGAGCGCCGCAACCGCCCCGCAACGCGCGGGAGCGGCGGCGGCAACGCACAACATCGACCGCCACCACAAGTTGTGGCAACAGCAGCGGCAGCGGCAGGCTCGGCCGCCAGCTTTCCTCAGCCTCATTCTTCTTCGGTGGGTGCCCCCGGTACGGGTAACAAGGCCGACAGCAAGGCGGCGGGAGCGATGCTGCACACGGTTCCGGCTGCTGTGCCGACGGCAGCAGGAGTACCCTTGCTCTCTTCTGCGCCAGCCGGAAGCAACACGATCGCGACGATGGGGGCCTCCTCCCTCTCGCCCTCGGACCAGCGTCCCGGGGGCTGTTTCGGCGCGACCAGTTCAGGCGCGAGCAGTGTCGTTGGCGAGGACCCCGCCGTGCCCGTCGCTGTCGTCTGCGGCGCCTCCGTCTCCAGTGGCGTTGGCGGCATTGGCGACGGAAACCGCAAGAAAACTTCCCGGAAAGTCCCCGTGGTGGCGGCGGCGAAGGGGGAAGGAGAAGACGCGGCTATACGGGCCTGGGACGGAGGCCTAGTGCGAGGGGTAGTTTCGCACGTATCGGCGCTCATGACTTGCGCTTCAAGGCAACAACAAGAACAGCAGCGCTTGCAGCAACAAAGTCGGCCCGGCCCAAACACCAAGGCCGCTGTTGCTGGCGCCCCAGCTGCTTCTTCTGCCAGGACCGTCGGCGGGAAGTAGATCAGTCAAGGTGTGGGGATTCCGCGGGAGACATGGCAAGGGTGTAGGCCGGGGCCGTGAGAGGCGGAGATGGAGGCGAGGCGAGACAATGGCACCCCCGCCCCCTTCCCCCTGGAGCTGTGGTCAATGGTCTAACGGCTGACGCCTGCGAAACGAGAGTACCCCACCCCCCCCACCCCCCCCCAGGGATTAGGTAGCGCCTCGCGTTCTAAGTGGTAGCCGAGAGGGCGATGAAGTTGGAAAGGGGCCGTCGGCGGAAGGGTTTATTGTAGAAGTGACGCGTCATGGGTGCCACACCCACATCCTCCCGTCGGGTGGGGGTGTGGGCGGTAGTCCTCCGAAAGCGACGACGGAAGTTAGCGGTTGAGTTTGAGCCCTCGACCTGCTTGCCGTACGAACCCCCCCCCCCCCCCCCCCCCCCCCCCCCCCCCCCCCCCCCCCCCCCCCCCCCCCC